ACTACTCTGTGGATCAATTTTCGTATCAGTTACATTTTAGCATGGGTAGATTTGTCATGGTCTATTTAATTTTTAATAAAGGGCTCAGAGAGGATACTGAGCACAGGCCTAGACAAGATTCTTGAGATGCTGAGTTTATCTACAGGAGGAAAATCAGAAAGATTAATCCACATCCAAAGGTGTATTAAACTTCTTTCAAATGTTTGTATTCCAGACTAAAGTGTGATGAAATTTTATTTGTGTGATGAAATTTGTATGAGCTTCAGTTTTATTCTCAATAAGTTTGATCTTTATTTTCTTTCTCAGCAGCAACCCTCAGGGGAACTTGAATTCTTGTTTCCTGGGCTTTATATTTTCCTTTAATTGCAGAACTGACAGAAGAAATGTTTTATAAAAACAGATAGACCAGGTGCTGAGAAAGGACTTCAGAGGAAAATACCCATTATGCAGAGGAAAGAATCATCTTAATGGAGTTTAAAAAACAATCTGGGGAGAAGCAACAGCAAAACAGCAGAATTAAGTGCCTCTCATTTGAGATCTGATTGTTAGGGCCAGAGCCTTAATTAGAAGCAGCAACATTTTTCTGCTGTAAGATAAATGCTGAACTTTGTTTACTTAGCTTGTATTTTTTATCCCTCCACTATTTGTTGTCTCATTACAGAGAAGCAACTGAACCAAGTCCAATACCTCTCTGAGGTCAGAGTTTTTTGAAAGAGGGGTTTGTTGTTGCTTTTGTTTGAAAAAAAAAAAAGTCATAATGCAGTTATAAATAAACCTAAAGGTTACTGAGGAACTTTTTCCATTTCTCTGGTGTCAGTCCCATGTCAAGTTGTTCTATGTAGATATAAGGCTTCTAGGTAAGATAGCAAGACAAAAAAAAAAAAAAAAAAAAAAAAAAAAAAAAAAAAAAAAAAAAAAAAAAAAAAAAAAAAAAAAAAAAAAAAAAAAGACGAAAAAAAGAAAAGATAATTCTTTAATTCTTGAACCACTGAACCAAGCCTTGCAGAGCAGTCCAAGTAGGGTTATCCAGGATCACAGTCTGTCCTGGAAATGGTTCAGAAGATCAACTAAATACTCTGGGTCTGCAGTTGCTCTGGGTCTGCAAATTAAATCCAACAAATCTTAAGAGCAAATAAAAGTGGAAGAATCTTCTGGTTATTTAATTCTTTTGCAGTTTAAACATGTTATGTTTTCGAAGCAGTTTGATCATTTCCATGTGTATAAATCCAGAAAGAGCAAACAGAACTGCTGCTTTCAATAGCAAATGGAAGAAATCCAAGTTGCTGCAGCCTCACTCTGCTTTTTCACTCCTCCCCTCCCTGAACAATGAGCATGGTTAACCCAATCACTGACACCATCAGCAGGAAACTCATCCCTTGAAGGAGGAAAAGTTTTCTGCAAGACCAGCTCGCTGAAGCAGCTTAGACAAACACCAGAGCTGTCTCCAGCAAAGGGAGAGACAACCTGCAGCCAAGGACAGAGCAGTGCAGCAGCCACAGCTGGCTCTGGCATGAGCTGCTGGGGCACTGCTCCTCACTCCACAGCTGGAGGGGATGCAACAGCTGGCTTGGCAGAGTTGGTTCTGTGGTGCAGATGCCCACTGAGCCTTAGATGTAAAGCCAAACAAAGTTAATGAGCTCGTATGCATATAAGTGGTTAGACTTAATGCACAATGTTTGCTGAACCTGAAACAGAAATATGCTGGCATGTTGCTTGAGAAACTCAATGACATGCAAGGAACGTGGGTGTTAAGCAGAGCTGAGTAGTTTGTATCCAATATAAAACATGAAGGAGTCCTTCCATGGCCCAGACAAGTCACCTCTGGGTGGAAGTTTGGTACAGGAGCTGAACTACTCAGATTTGAGGTGACAGAACTGTCACGTGTGTCAGACCAGCAGCAGACTCTGGAGGTTTGGTCTCCAGCATCACCACTTGCCCGAATGAGACAACTCAGAACTGAAGTTATTTATTTCTGTGGATGCTACAGTCCATTAGTCAGGAAAAGGACAGTACTGGGGGAAGGGCCCTGGCACCAACCTTTTAGAACCAAATCAATAGTCTGCATCAGTATTATGCCTGTAGTTCTTGGCTGCTCATATCACATATGTTAAAGCATGAGCCTTTGATTGTTTAAGATGCCTTCAACTTTGAGTCTTTTGAGAATCAGCCTAAGGTGATTAATTTTGAGATTTACAGAAATATTAATAAATATTTTCAGAATTCATGTTAGCACAACTCAGAAGAGGTAAGTCATGACTTGCATTCTTTCATTTGGCAGCCAGCAGAGCTTATTACAAAGTTTGTATCTCTGGTATATCTGGTACTTCACTGATACCAGCAGCCATAATAGAATCTGTCAGCTGAATTTGATTGCATTCGAATTACCAATGCAAATGGTTATTATTAATTGGGGCAGGGCAAAGGCATTCAGTTGTAGCATGAATCATCTCCCATTGGGAGGCAGAAAACAGAGTACAATCATTTTATGCTTGAGTTGTTACAAATGCAGAGTTGTGAATACTACAAGTTACTGTCAGGGCTGGAGACATTAGCACCAGAGTGAAGGGTCACAAGTCTGAGAGCAGTCACTCTGTATCTTACATGATTTTACTTTTGAAATTAATTTCTAATAAGATGGCTTCCTACCATGCTTCAAGTTGTGTGATTTTGATAGTTTAAGAAAAATAAATTAGCTGCATCTATTAAATAAGCTAGATAACATGGATAATCAGTGCACAAGATTTCATCTGTTGATTTTGCCTTCTGATTTTGTTTCACACAAGCAGCTTAACTGAAGCATTCTGAATTAACATTATAACTGGTAATGGAAAAGGGACTTTTAGATCACAACACATCTGGGAGAAGTGCTGTGAGGCAGAGGTTATCCTAACCCTGATGCAGGCACCCCACCTGGTTCCCCTTTTGCCTTTTTCTCTATGCCTTAACAGCTTGAACAGGGATTTGCTGCAGGTCCTTATGGACTCACTGCTCTGACTGATCCCCATCCCTTGCTTGGATGGGTTTAGCAGTATCTGAGTTTAGATGAGGCTGACTGCCTATATCCAGGATTAAACCTACTTGAATTTCAAGCAGGGGCTTGAAGGGCAACCCTTCCCTGTGTTATCAACCCAGAGTCCTCATGTTACTTTGGCCTTCTTTCTGCCACAGGGGTGTGTGGTTCTTTCAGGGTTTCATGGGTCTCTGAACATCTACACTGTTTTGTGAGATTACATAAGTATCCTTACACAATTTTAAACAATATTTTATTGAAATTTCATATCTCTGTTTTGCTGCAAGGTTACAAATTACTCATTGCACAGTCAACAAACAAGCACAATACATTATAGATAAGAAGCCACAGAAAAGTATTTTATGTATCTTTAAGAAAAGGAATATATATTTTTACTGACAACACAGTATAAAGAAAGTAGCTGGAAGGAATGAAGAAGCATCTTACATTTTGTGTAATGAAGCAAATATCAGAGCACTAGTTCTGAGAAAAGAGACTATGGATGGCAGTTTTCCAATGGCTTATGAACTCATTATAAGAAGTACTGATGGGAATTAAATGCCCTATTGAATTAATCATTTTACCAGTAAAACATGTTCTCATTACAGTCAAACAATATCAGGGAGACAGACTTCTGAATCATTAATTCCCCTTTCTACATGTATATCCAGGAGCAATATTTATTGAGAAACTATTCTTTTAAAGTTGGCTTGTGTGCAACTAGCTTGTTCAACATGATTGGTAAAGAATTTGGTAACGTAGAGGAGTATAATTAGAATATATTTATCAAGGAGACCATCTTATCAAAAGAATTAATGAAGCTTAATTTTGAAGCTATAAAAGAACAGGGTCCTTCCAGAAATTCTACTTGTACACAGAGTGCAGAAATGGATGGTAGGAACAGTCTCAAATTCCTCTAGAAAAAAGCTCATGTGCTGTTTTTAATCCTGTTCATGCTCAGACTTCTCTTGTTGTTAAATACTCTGTGTGTTTACAAATGCTTTCCTTAGATCAATTACACGGCTTTTATTCTACACTAAGGCTAAATTCTGTAGATGTCATATCAGTAAATAAAAATTGGTACCATGAAATCAACATTAACAGCAAGCATAATGGGAAAGCATTTACCAGCAAGCACTGGGAACTGACCATACAAAGATGTGTTGCTGCCATCTTATAATTTCATAATAAATCTCAGTAGATTTGATTAAAATGTCAGATTTGAGCCTTCAAAGAGCAGGCCTATGTCAATAACACCACATACCTTATGTATTTCAAAACATATTCCAAACACCAAAAGAGCAGACTTATAATAAAAATATCTCTGTCTAATCTTACGTCTATGAATCCACTGGTCTGATTTTAGCCAGCTAGAATAAAAATGAAATAATAAAACATGTTATTGATAAGGATAATAATTTAAATGTCAAAAAGATTTCTACAACCCTCTCGTTGTTCTTGCTCCCATCATCATGAAAATGCTGCAAACAGCTGTCCTCAAATTATAGAAAAGTATCTACAATGCTGACTGCACCTGAATGTGAGAGATCTACCTCTACCCTTCAGTAATTGTCCAGTTGCCCACTGTCCTGGTCAGGGTTCAAAAATAAAGAGTTTAGTGCTGCAGGATGGGTCTCTAAAGCTAGCTGTAGGCATGCAGTTCAAACTGGAAAAGGCTCGTCACTCATCTTGTCATCTTAAAAAACAAAACAAAACAAAACCCCAAGCAAACCAGAAAAGCACTCTTCTTCATATGGCAGGGGATGGTCTTCTCTGAGTAAGAGTTCAGATATTGATGGAAGTTGTATGATTTAACAAGAAGTAATATTTGAAAACTATTTGGCACAGATGTCTTATTCATAATCTCTAGCTCCTGTGTGGAACTGCTGGTCCTGGATTCCAGTATTTATTCCACAATATGGGTACCAAAACCATGCATCAAGTATTACAGAATTTATTCTTTAAATGTGAATATTTCCCATTAACAATGTTGGTCCTGGTCCAGCCAAGGTGATACAGAATTTATCACTTGAAATTCTAAACACTTCTGCTACATCATTTATAATTTACATGATTTTTCAAGTACGCAGATGAATTTATAGAAATTATGTTTAAAATTTATTATAGTTTTCCATTAACAAACCACAGAAAGATAAGTAGTTGCATTGCAGAGTATTCTCTAGATTCCATAGATTTTATGATACATAATACAGCATTAAGCATGATACAATTGTCAGACTAAAAGGTTGTGCCACAGAAGAATACCCAAAGGACCTGGATGGCAGTGGCTGAGGCTTACGTAGGTCTAGGCGACAGGAATTTTGTGCTTCTTGCAGAATTTCACTTTCACCTACGTCCATTACTCCAAAAGTGTCCCGCACCTACAAAAATTCAAAAGGTTGTCCCTGAAAGCCAGACTGGCACAACAGCAAAAAGCTCTATACAGCTAGCAAATTCAATGCTATTTCAAGTTACCCAACTCAAACTGTATTGCAAAACCACATCTGAATGTGAGGAAATCAATATTATTATTCTGCTGTTTGCATTCCTATGAAGCACTTCCCAGAATTCAGCACAGATACATTACAGCAAGAATCACAGGTCTGGCTGTTCTTTGTGTTGGCTCTCTCCACATACAGAGCAAAGAAACTCATGAACTTTCTTCCCTGGAAGGAACCCACACTCTCAAGACAGAGCTTCAACATCTCTAATTTAAAAGGGAAAAAACACTGCTAGATCCCACAGATTGGTTAGGAGTGGTGAATTTGAGCCTCTTCATAATGTCAGTCTGCCACACAATGAAGTCAGCATTACGTAGATATTTTGGCAGCTTAACTGGAATAGTACAAATTTCCCTAATTTCAGTTCATCCAACATGCCCAAAAAAAGACAAGTGGAAGAAAGGTCACCTTGAAATATCTGCTGTCTAGAAGGCTTTGTGTGTAATATCTTCTTACCTATCAATACCTGTCAATAAAAGTAGGAGGCAAGCAGTCTGGAAGCTTCAGCAGAGGCATTTGGAAAAGTTACCATTGAGGGGGCCCTACTCTTATCCAGTCTCCTTCCCTCCTCTCCTCCCTCATCCTTCTGGATTAATTTCCACCGTTTATACTTAAAGCTCATTGTGATCTGGTTGTTATGTTTATGGCTTGTTAGTGATCTGGACATGGCAGAAGCCTTTTGAACAGCAGCCCAATCCCATGACAAGAATTAAATTGATTTGCAGGAGTCAACATTCCTTCCTGCCCAGCGAACACAGCCAGACTGTGATGCTGGTACATCCGCAGTTTCTCCAAACCATGAAGTGATTCCATTTAGAAGTCACTGATGTGTGCTTATCAGATTACTGCAGAGAGGAAAACTTCCAAAGAGCTTTGTCTGCTCTCTCTCATTTTCCTTTATGCTGCTAATGCTCTCTTGCCTTCTTGGTTTCTTTCCCAGCGTTTGGATTTACTGAATTAGGTGTTGACATTCCCTCATATCTCTAAAAATGAACAAAAAAAACAATCCAAAACAAAAAAAAAAAAAAAAAAAAAAAAAAAAAAGGCAAAAACCCACCCAAAAAATAAACAAAACACCAACAATTCCTCTTTCCCTCTTGGTAAGAATCAAAATTCAGTTTGGATTTTAATCTTACATTTTCTACTTCCCTGAAGACACGGAGAAAGTTCTCCCTTAAGACTCCTTTCAGTTCAGTTTCATTCCATCCTCTTCTAAGAAGTTCCTCTATCAAAGAAGGGTATTTAGAGACATCTTCCAATCCCTTGGGAAAGCTGTTGACAAGAGTGACACAAGAACATACAACACACATCACTGACAAATTGGAGAAAAAGGGTTTTAATTAGTCTTTTGCACATATTGACTTCTGAAGTGACCTGACTTTGGACCCAACTCTTCCTCTGAGAATTCAGCTCACAAACAGAAATGGAACTGGGACACAACAAAAGGCTTTTTCTTCACATAGGACCCAATAAACAGAACACAACTGGAATGAAGATGAACTACTGTAGAGGCAAAACAACACCATGGGAGGATATAAGAACAAAAGGGGAAAAAAATAACCAGAAATTCATGTATACAGTAATCCACACTTTCCATCTGACCTTTAGAGTAAGAGGAAACAGCTGCATCACAGATGAAGTTGGGGCAATCCAATGTAACTGAGAACAAAAGGAAACCTACAAACACATTATGAGCTCTGGGGTTGGAGGCATTTTGTCAATTCTGTTGTTTACAAAGTATTTACAAAAAAAAACCCAATTATAATAATAATCCTGGTTGAATTAAGCCAATTGTTTAGGCAGTGGAAAGAAACTAATTCAGAGTCCTCTACTGAAGAAATTACAGAAAGCAAAACTGATCTATACCTTATGCTAATTCTTGTCAGAATAAAAAGAATTTAGAAATAAAAAGCTGTAAAACCTGCATTCAACAGTTGTTTTTAATTATATTTACACGAGATTTTGACATGGTTTTGAGATAACAAATATTTTTGTTACTTTTCTGTTCCATGAAGGTGTGGTGATAAGCATATGTCAAAAAAATCTGTGGCATTACTAGCAGGAATTAGGACCTTAACATCAGTTTAACTGATGGCCTTTGAGAAAATGCATGATAAAATGTGTCCTTTTGTTGCAAACTGTATTTTTATCTTGAACATTATCATTACAGATCTATGATATCATGGGTGCTGACACAATGGGTTTCTGTTTGTACTTTACAGATGGGAGCCTGACTCTGACTTTCACTTCCAAGCAGGGAGTGAAAGGAGAAAAAGAAAAAAGAAAAAGGAGATAATGATTTAACAGGAAGATAAAAAGCAAAAAAAAAAAGTTTAAGATTACAGCAGCAAGTGCCACCCAATGAGCATTTGTTTCCTGTGCTGTAACTGCAGTAGTCCAGGAGTGAGGAGAGGTTTTGTGGTAGGCTGCTCAGAGGTTTTGAAGCTCTGTTTGCCTCAAACATTTCCCAAAAGCAGGAGTGGTTTCACAACACCCAAACTCTATGGGCTTTCCCCATGGATAGTGGAGGAAAGAGTTTTGCAGCATCTGTCTAGACTGAACCATTTACCATATAGAGATTGAGGCAGCTTTTCTGTCATTCATCAGTGGCTTTTGGAGAAAAACAACCCCTATCACTGGTTCTGTATGCACAAACCTAGAACACACAGCTTTAGAGTTCACAGGGCCTGAGGATCCATTTCTACATTTGTAGCATGATTTCTAAAAAGAAATTATTGTACCTCTCTTTCATAAAACTTGGGTTAGTCTCATTACAAGATAATCTGATATCAGTTTTTTTAGTCTGCCTTCTTTTTTTTTCCCTTAAATTAATCAAACCCCACATGATTTAAGGAGCAAATGTCAATGTTTGTACAACTTTACTCACCGTTCCACTCCATCATAGTCACCACCAATTCCTATTGATTCTGAGCCTGCAATTTCCTTTATATGGTCAAAATGATCTGAAAGAAAATGTCAAGAAAACAACATCTAAGCACCTAGCAAAAAAGAAATATGACAGTTCACACATATTGGCACTAGGTAACAGCTCTCCTTAATCGTGGGTTCTTAATCAAATTCTTTTTTAAAACAGTGAGAAGACACCCCATCAGGCAGGAACCTTCAAAATATCAACTACACTGATTAAATGCAAATGAGGAAAGAGACATGATCATCACAGCACATTAATTCCTAACAAGTAACCCAATTATACCAATAGAATTTTCATTATCCATCACATACCTATGTTTCCCACTCTTAATTACATAGGCTTAAAGTGTTTTCCAGAAAGTAACAACTACTTTGGGATTAATGGTTGTTGGCTCTGCTTGTGAGCATCATGTCCTCCAGCTACACACACATCTTGTACCTCTTGTTATTGTTTAGTGAGTGTTAGCTCAAAAAGTAATAGAGCTGGAATAAACAAGCAGTCAAATTTACATGGCTTTGAAAATGATGCATGACCTAGGACATTAATAGAATTTATGCAAATTTGTAGAACCCACAAAAACTACAGTATATTAACATCAAACCTGCAAGGGTAGAAATAGTAACGACTTTTCTGCCACAGGCCAGTACATCTGCATTGAAAGTCACCATGATAATTCCCTTGTTCTTTTTCTGAAAGATATGAAGAGACAGGTGATGAGTGAACTCTTGTGTCCTGCAAACTTCATGGGTATCTTATGTAGAATCTTCTATACCCATCCACCAGTGAGAAAAGCAACACTAAGTCAAAGTTCAGATGGCAACAAAAGCTTTGCCTCCCTGTCCTTTCCCCTGGGTTAATTTTACCTTCACACAGAATCAGAAGTGCAGTGACTACATAACAAAAAAAAAAAAAAAAAAAAAAAAAAAAAAAAAAAAAAAAAAAAAAAAAAAACAAAAAAAAACTCAACCAGAATTTAAAAGTATTTGAAGTATTTGAGAACACTTCATTTTTGTAGTCAAAGGCTAAACACAACCCAGAGAAAATGTCTCAGAAGCAATTGTAAGCTGCTGCTCAAGGATCTGCTTCTAAATCAAATTCAGGGATCAGAGGGAAAGTAAACATCATGATTTGAATGCACATTTGCTGCAGCCCATGCAAACATTGCCATTAAAACAAAAACCAAAACCCTCAAGAAGCAAAACCAAATTCCTTCCACCAAAAACAAACCCAAGAACCATGTCACTCACCAGTTGCTGGAGGATATCATCAGGAACATTTCTTGAGTGATTACAAACAGAAAATGCTGCTGAGTGGCTGAAAATTACTGGTGCTTTTGAAATACTGAGTGCAGCCTTTACAGTGGAGTATGAAGTATGAGATAAATCTATCAGCATACCCAGGCGATTCATCTCCTTTACCACTTCCTAAAACAGATGTACAGACAACAGTGTCAGTATTAAGTTTCCTGAAAGGAAACTGTTTAGCTGGTATATGGAAACAGATTAATTCTGCAGCTGCCAGCTAGTCATAAACATGCTGTGCCTGTACTGGTTGCTATCTACCTATTAATTCATTAGTGATTTACTCACTCAAAATTAGCCAGCATGCCACCACATGCTCAAAATTTAGAAAACTTAGTCAATCTAAACTAAGTCATTGGAAGTGTTATTCATATCTTACTACTTACACATATTAATTCATACATCTAATATGTATTAAAAAAACTGTAATTAAATTTAACACTTCTTTTACCCTAAGAAGCACCACAGGGAATTTGGTTTGACTAAACTCTGGTCACCTCCTAACTATTAAGAACTTCCAGTAATTAATTTTTAATGTCAGTTTGCTTTTGAGAAGATAAGGCCAGAAGTTATTAGTTGCATGACAGATTGCCCAGATTAGCATTTGAAAGAAATCCTTACTTGGCCAAATGCAGTCAGACCAATAACATTAGGATAAAAGTTGTGTATTCCTTTAGATGATGATTCAGACCTTGAAAAGGGGAGTGAGGGAGAAGAAATATATTATTCTGGAGAATACAGTATCAACAGCTGAAAACTCTTACACTACACACAAGAAAAATGTCACATAGACAAATGTGGGGATAATGAGCTAGGTAATAGGTATCTTGTTCAGGCAGTGCTTTTTATGTTCATAACTGCTTTCAGGTTCACTAATGTTGATTTTTGTGAAGAAATTTAGGACAAGCAGATTGTCAAGTGTCCAAACTATGATCAATACAAGCACTACATAATGGATGTAGTCTCCCATTGTACACATGGAAAATTATTTACCCCCAAAACCCATCACCTTGACTTGGTTCAAAGTCTTTTCTTTCACAGGATAAGTTTGTGTCTGGATCCATATGTCTCCCATCATGCAGCTGCCACTCCTTTGCATTACACAGTCACACAAAAATATGCACAATAGTTACCAAGGAGTGTTGCAGGAGTGTGTTAGAGTCATGTAGCGAACACCCAAGTCATAGTACATCCTCAGCGTTGCCAAACTGCTGTCAATGGAGTGGCCACCCTCTATTCCAATCAAACATGCAATCCTTCTGCTCTCAGAGATACCTGGAAAACACAAAGAAGGATGATTCCAAAGTAATTCCATGACAGATAAGAAGCCAGCATTACTGAGCACTGTAATTTAATTACATTGTCTGTGTAAATTGCAAGCAATAATAAAGACATTTTGATAGAATTGGAGCTTACAGGGTACATGTTCATATGACAAATTTTCTCATAACTGCAGTGGGCCAGGGCTGTGCACAGTTAATCGCTGTGGTTCAGAGGAAATGTTGAAGTTACTCTTTAAAGCAGGATAAGTTGTTTGCATCTCTCTGTACACACCTCCTGCAATCACATTTTTAAAAATTCTTTTACAAGAGGGAGCATCACCTTGGGAAGTCACCACAAGTTCCAGCTCTTCATAGCTGTTACACATCCTCTTGACAACATCGATTTGCTCTAAGGTCAGGCGCACAGCATCCTTGTTCTGAGCGCTGCAAAGAACATACACTGACCAAAACTGAAAGAGACATTGACAAGTAAACCAGATAACTTGTGTTTTGAATTGGAAACTTCCATTTGCTCATAGTTCAGGAGCACAGATCAAAATAACTTCCTGCAGTTTACAAGGGAGTGGTCACTAAAGCTGTTTCCCCAAAGAAAGAGTTGTGTTGCAAGGCAAGAGCACCCACTCCAGACATGGTCAAGGCCTCCTGATACATACACTCAGCTACTCCACAGTACATGCAGGAAAGCAAATATAAGCTTCCTTTAATTTATATATCACAAAACAAATGCTGCTGTTTTGACTAAGAGTACCTGAATTATAAAACCCAAACACTTAAACACAACTGTCATGAAAGACTGTCTGTGGGTTTTCAGTTCTATAATTTTTTTTCTTTTTCAGTATAAATAACCAACATCAGAGAGGGAAGCAAATGTAGAAATATGTTCTGAGCCCCACCACCACAGCAGTACATACCTGAGCTCCCACATAACCAGCCTGAAGTTTCACAAGGTTTGTGTGGGTCATGTTGAGTTCCCTCAAGTTGACTCTACTGAGTCTATTTTGGTAAAGTATTCTCAGCTGCAGTACAAAGTCATTGTGGCTAGAATGGCAAACAAACAGGGCTTGTGATAGAGATAAACGTTCCCTTTCTAACCCAAGTGTAATTTCTTCCACTGTTTGGAGTCCCTTACACCATTGACAATAATCCTTCCAACAATAGATGCCTGACAGTCTCTCTTCTTTTCTGCCTTTTCTGCTTCTCACCCCATCCCACCACTGAGCAGATTATGGATGTTTAGTAAGTTGGGAGTGGACACAGATGAGACAGCTGACCCCAGCTGGCCAAAGGATCTTCCAGACCATATATGCTCAGCATATAAAGTTTGGGAGAAGGAGGAAGACTGGGGGCATTCAGAATCATGATGTTTATCTTTCCAAGAAATATTATGTGTGGTGGAGCCCTGCATCCTGGGGATGGATGAATGCCTTAGTCATGGGGAGTAGTGAATTAATTCCTTGTCTTGCTTTGTGCATAGCTTTTGCTTTCCTTAAGCTGCCCGTGTCTCAGCTCATGAGTTTTCTCACTTTTCTGATCCTCTCCCACATCCCACCAGAGGGACAAGTGAGCAAGGACTGTGTGGGGCTCAGGTGCCAGCTGGGGTTAAACCATGACACCTAGCTAGAAAATCAAAATGGTATTTAGGGTAACACAGTCCTGCATTAATCACCCTCTGAACCAAAATTCCTTCCCAAAGTATCACTGCAATGGTAGCTCAGTGCTGTGTGCTTGTAACAGCCCATGTCTCTGGCATTTCAGCATTTCCTTCTCACTTATCAGCCTCACAAAGAGGGTTTAGATGAACATATTTTATATACCCATCGATCAAACGTGCATCTTGCATCAGCTCAAGAGCTCGTTCTCTCATTGCTTTCCCACAGCTGAATGGCACAATATCAGAAAAGAACATCAGCAGCCACAACAACTTTGCCATATCTCTCTTAATTTCCATTTTCCAGTGGAAAAAGTGCTAAAGCACAGCACCACAATTGCTCACTGATGACAATGAAACAGCAAAATTTCCAGTCTGCAGAGACTGTAGGGTTAGCAGCACAGGCAATTTGAATGCTCCTCCTTCTGATAAGGCCGCTTGTGAATTCTGGGGGAGGAAAAAAAAACAAAGAAATAATAGTAAACAGAAGGGAAGGTAGCATTGAAAACTCTGAAACTGCTACATTCTCCCGAAGATTTTAGGGTCTCTGGCTATTGTGCTCTTGCACATATGACCTCTCCTTAAACTCTGCTGCTGCCACCAGCTCAGTGCTGAAGAGAACCAATTGCTCAACCAGAGCTGAGCCCACTACACCCTGGACACACAGCTCCCAAAAACAGCTTCCAAAACAGCAGAAGAAGAGTGTTTTTTCATTATTTTAACTTGCTTGTTCTCTTTCTGTGGGAAATCTCATACTGAAATGGGCACTGAAACTGTTTTCTGAGAAAGTTGAGAAGTGAACTTAAAACACAAAGAACATCAGATGAGAGGAACAGTGATTGCTAGAAACAAAACCATCCTCAAAATCCTTCCTCTGATAGTCTCAGAACTTTTTCTTTCATAAATATGCATCAGAAATATGCATGCATTGTGAGACCCAAAAACTTTAGTGGCACAGCACTTCTACACAACCATAAAGTTTAGAGAGCAATCAGAAGCTATTTCCTTTCTTCTCTGTGTCAACCATAGAGATTTTCCCTCAAATGTCAAAGCACAAATACAGACTTACCCTTTTACCACAAGTACAGACTTTGTTACCACAGGGAAAAAAAGTCCTTGTATCTCTAATCTAGAGAATGTTAAATTGGTTTGTGGCAGGTCAGCATGCAAAATGTTAAAACGACAAGGTCAAAAAACTGCCCAAGCAGAATAATTTTGACAAGTTAGTACCACAAAGGCAAATTAGTTTCTGTATGCGTCTTTTGGTTGCAAATTCCACAAGATAAAATACAGGACAGATCTGCAGCCTGAATCGCTAGAGTTCTGCCAGATCCTGACAAAAGGACTCTAAAGGATAAACTAAGATTTTATAGCTTATTATCTGCTCTTCATATACATATAGAAATTCATATAATGTGTCAGTTCAAACTGCTTAATGAGAAAGTAGCAAACCTTTTTCACATAATATCTGTTCTGAGGCTCTAAAAACTGATATACACTGTAGATTTTGATCCAAATATTTACAATTTTTTCCTGAATTCAACAGCAATTTTCAGGAAGATTTTTTCAGCAGGAATTAAGTGTTCTTCCAGTTGTATGACTGCTAAAATAAATTATTTTCATCTGTACATTACCAAATCCACTTTCTGTGTATGTCTACAAAAATACAGTTTTTTGTAGCTACAAGAATTTTCTATTTGCTGTATCAAAGTATCTTCTCAGTTTCATGCAAAATATTCTTTATACTTTGACAGTAAGACTCATTTGCCTTTGAGGCTCTTTAGGTATAAAAAAAAGATCATAATTAAATCATCATTCAGAGATCAGTACTTGAAAATTGAAGGAGTATTGCAAGCACTATACAAAATTAAGAACATGGTACATTGGCATCCCTGTTTAAACAACATTTGAAATACAAAACCCACACAGCTTTTTCCATGCTTACTGAGCAGAGCAGAGAAGTGGAAGCTGAAATAAGATTTATAGCTTTCCTTTTATTTATCTAGAGGCTCCTTGGAGCAGTTACCTTCTTCAGATAATAGAGCCGAGTCGAAATCCACATTCCGCTGTGCCGGGTACAGCAGCTAAGGCTCGGCGCTGGACCTGCCTGGCATCACAGCAGCAACCAAGAAGCTCCTGTGCTCCCTTAGCTCGTGGCACAGGCTGCACACACAGCATTTGGCATTTGGAAATTGCCACTTGCTGAGATACAAGGTCTGTGCATGAGCTTTCAGCTCAGCTACACCCACATGGGCACCCCACAGGGTTTCTGCTGTGCCTTGTTAAAAACCCAGCGTTTCCTCCCTCTCGTGGCAGCCTGGCTGTGCAGTCCACAATGCCTCCATTCACCAGCAGATGATGTGTTAAAATCTCTGCTTGTATGGTTCAGAAATGGGTGCCTCTCACCACGGCATAAATTAGGGTGGAAGGGGTTTTCGGTGGGGTATCATCTAGTCCAGCCACCTGGCCCCAGGTAAGGTAGCTCCAAAGTTAGAGCAGGTTGCTCAGGACCTCACTCAGTGGAAGGTTTGATATCTTCAATAAAAAAGATCATACAACCTTTCCAGGCCCCTCTTCCAGTGTTTGTTTATTCACATTGACTATACCTAAGCCAATAAATATCTACTTCTTGTTACTATACCGGCTGTATTTTATTCAGGACTCACAGTGCCATTGTATTTTATTTACAAAGGTCAAAATAGTCACAAGGTACGGGTGACATTTCCAAAATGAACCTACTGTGGCTTTTCATTTTCTTTTAAATATGAAAATTTGGGAACAAGGAAATACATGGAAAAACAATGATGCTAGAGTTTCACAAGAAGTGGTTTGTTTATCATAGTTTTTTAATTCACTTCATATCTTTTTACCAGAAACCAAAAGGGCATCATGTTTTTGTTTAGGATTCCATTGCAGAGAAATGACCAAGTCTTATGATGAAATCTTCCACAGACCTGTTGTGCAAGTCATGTCCTAAATGAACACACATTCATCATCAATCCTCTAGTTCCCACTAACTGCAAAACTTAAACAAAAGCCCCCACATCCCTGGGAATTCTGATGCACATTGCTAATTTGGTGAACTTCACTTATAAACATTTACTATTCACTTCTCTGGACTAGAGAGCCCTAAACCATACAAATGAAGTAACAAGAGAAAAGACAAATATTTTCTCTTTCTAATCTGAAATTTGATCCAGGTCAGAGCCATTATTATGCCAATGACAGGAAACCATCTTTCATATTGAAATTAAAGCTGCAGTTATCAGGTTCAGACTCCTTTTCCATTTGTGGTCTAGTTCTAACCCATATTTCATTTTTAATTTTAAAGTTTTCAGGTTCTCATCTCTATCTTCCAGAGTAATTAAATATCACATACCTTGCCATTTATTTTTCCCATTCTCTGAGTTTTCTCTCCTTGCAAAGTCAAGTTAAATCTCTGATCTGGTTTCTACCTAAAACTGTTTTCCCACATACTTGCAGAAAAGCTAAGCTCACCAACTCCTTGTTCAACAGAAGTTTTTGCCGAGCCACTAAGCACCTTCTTCAGCTTTTAACAGCTCACTTCTTTGCAGATTCAGAACATAACTGATTTTTAAAATTACTAAATGCCAGCTTTCTTCTATAATTTTATTCCAATAGCCCTGGATTAGTGTTAGCAGCTGTCTGTGTATTATAAATGGCAATGTGGCATTTGTGATGTACATCCTTCCTGCAGAGTTCATCTGCCAAGACTGGTCTCTTGATAAGTACCCCAGGAGCTATCTTTATTGTCCAGAATGTTGCTACACAGCTGTCTCACCCTGATAATAGCTATCCCTATGTTTATAGCATGTAAAAGAACTGCAGCACTCACACTGAAATCAGCTGCTCTCAGGAGGCACAGGGATAGAATTATGTATTGGAAGTACTTTTCCCACTAGGAAGGCTTGTTCCAGCCAGAGCATCTTCATTAATTTCAGCACTTACACATGCAAACCACTGATGGTTTTTACTGTCAGCACAGATTGAACTGTAGATGACTACAGCTGGGAAAGTAGGACTTTGTACATGCAGATGCCTATTGCAGCCATTTTTAACTGCTATTTTGTTTTCTGTAAAATTCTTCTCTTCTACCAGCTGCACTACATAACAGCACTTCAGCATTTGGGATGGATATAGTTTTGTGTGTCAATCAGCTTCAAAACCCTACTGAAATTGCTTAGGGACAGGTCACATTGACATAGTATTGTAAGTCCTGCTTATCAAGTATTCAAACTTGCTGTCCTACTTCTGTGTGAAGATTGCAATCTCCAGGGCAGTCAGTTTGACATTTCTCGAGGGCAGGTATCAGTGTTTTAATTAGAAACTGTTATAACATGTTAGGAAGAGGCACTCCTGTATATCAGGATTTAAGTTTGCATAAAAATAGCAATACAGGCAGAATTAACTATTGCAAATTGAGTTCCAACTGTTTCTTTTACTCTTCTCAGCATTAGTTTCAGGTCCTAAAATGAAGTGAGTTCACACTCAGAGGGGGTGGTGATGGGAGGTCCTTTGGTAATTTTTATCTGTTTAAATCAGTATGGTTGCAACATATTTCTTAGATGAGACCTTATGAGAAATATTCATCTTGGGAGATCAAAGAGGTTAAAAACCAAGTCAGTAAAAAACTTCTTTTTGCCATGTTGCTCTGCTTTGGGGGTTCCTGAAGCTGCCCCAGTTTCACAGCTAATTTGACCAACATCCTGAAGGCAGTTCAGAGGGTGCCATACACTCTCAGGACATGAACATACAGAACCACATCAATTGGCACAAGTTACTAAACACAAAAGAAACAGGAAGTACCAAGACAAGTTGTTCTTTTCACAGAGGAAAGATTTCATGAAGCACATGAAGATATCACCAAAGCTCCTTAGAAAGAATCTAGAGCTGAACTTTGCCTATAGCTGACAGCAAATAGTCCATAATGAATGCAGATACCTTTCAGGATGAACACAAATTAGTACTATGCTGACACCCATCAATGTGTCTCGTCAACAAGATTTTCTAAAAACACCAAAGCTGCTGTGGATTCTCCTGGTTCAATACTCTGAGAGAATCAATTTCTGTATTTTCTTGGAAAGAAAGGTGGAGAAAGCAGCAGTGGGAAAAAACAGCTGCAATAGGCTTATCTAGCAATTTATATTATATTTATTTTTAATTGCATTAATATTTGCAATTGATAATGCCCAAATGGCAAAGCAAACCAAGCAAGGCTTCTGTTTGTTTAGCTATAGATTTGTTCTACAAAGGTATCAGCTATCCAGATTAACTCTTTTCATTCAAGCAAGGTGAAAGTTCTTGCCACGAGGTGGCAGGAGCTTCCCCATTAAAATAATATGTATTATTATATGTGTGTGATCTGTGATTTGATGACAAATTGCTAATTGGCAGGACTGGAGATGACTTCTGAGAACCAGGATGCAAACTAGCTTGTTTCAGACAGGTGGGCTCTTTTATTTGGAGGTTGTTCTCCCACCCAAGGAAATAAAAAGAAAAATTTTCTCCTTTGAAAGGCAGTTGAAGAGGTCATGAAAGCCTCAAGGACAACAGAAGTTGTTGCCTACTCAGTTTGAGAATTTTATCTGAAAAGGCTTCCAGAACACTTAAAAGCAAAAAATAAAAAAAAAATCCTGTTTAAAAGCAGAATACTCAAAGCTCTTCCAGTTCCCACTCCAATTTTCCAGGAAGAGCAAAGCCTTTCATATCTATTTAAAGCAGTTGCTGCCCTTGTGGCATTAAGCACCCACAGCCAGTCAGGGCTCCACTGAATGCCATGGTTCCTGTTTAGCACAGGTTTCTGAGAAAAGCCACTCATTTTGGTATCAATGAGAAAATCCAATTTAAAGCAAGTATTCTTAGCTTCATTTTTACCAGCTAATAATGGGTCCATTTTTTTATTTTTCTTCATGTTTCAAATACTTAGCTTTGAGTTTTGGAGGGATGTTTAAAAATTGTCATCCTTGCCTGATGTGCAGATGGCATCCAGGTAATCCTTGCGCAAGATCTGATTTCTTATTCATTCCTATGCTTATGAGTAGAAGCTCTCAAACACCTTTAACTGCAAGCTTGTCAGCACATGCTAGGATGTTAGAAGAGGATATAGCAGCTTTCTAAATAATCAGTTGTGTGCCAGTCTCTTTGTTAGCAATTCTGAAAGGCTTAAGCAATTACTTCTCTTTGCTGTGTATCTGCAAACAGCTGTGCTGTGCACACATACAGGTAGTGTTTATTTCCTACCTCAGAAGCATTATGAAGCTAAATGGAGTATGGAAATAAATTGACTGGTTGTGTCTCTTGTTCATACCACATTGAACAAACTGGAAACTAAGTAAAGTTGCCCATTCAGTCTGTCAGAGACTTTCAGAAAGATCTAGAATTTGCTGCGATTGTTTTGAGTCAGCTGCCTCAGAATCTGACAGAAAGCACAATCAGATGCTCTTAAACACTCAGAGCTGTGTGGAAATAAGCGGTCCTAAGTATAATTTTTTTTTTTTTTTTTTTTTTGTTATTGTTAAGAAACTTCCAAGTCATTTTGTTTTGGGATTGTTTTGTTAGATCAGAAAATGTATCAGCATAGGATCCATTTTTTCTGAGGTGTTTTTCACAACATATTGTGATGCTTAAGAAGAGGTTTCTTTAATTGAGAAATTTAGCAGTAATTTCAATGAGGCAGTAGACAGAAATTTGCTGTGGTTCTATTGGAAAGAGAACTCCCTCCCAGCAATGAGAGCAAATCACCATGGAAACTTTTTGCTAAGATGGTATTAAAGAACAGCATGTACACTTAGATCTCTCCTTTTGTAATAGGTAGCATTTTGTGATACAGTCTGGAGTGACTGAGTAAAAGGGTTATTTGCACATGAGGCACCAAGACTTTCCCAGAACTATTTCAGGATTCTGTTATGCTGCAGAGCTGGCCAGTTGACAGCAAATCTTGTTACACATAGAAAAGTGTGAAGACAAGAGTGGACAAGTGATTTTACCCAAGTTTGGTAAAGTCAAGTTGATACACACACAGAAAAAACAGATTTGTGAACTGGCCTTAAATCAGTTTATCACCATGAGAAGCTAACTAAATGTTCTCATATTGTCATAGAACAATCTGGTTTTCAAACCAGGATGGACCAAGCTCACACACTCAGTTGAAGTAGTAGTATCTCCTTACCTTCCTTCTTATAAACAC